TTATTAGACATAAAAACAATGATGTATATAGATTATAAATATTTAAAAATAGGGGCCTATTTTCTCTCCCCCAAAATGTCAGCACCCACCCTGTACATCAAATTAACAAGTTAATTAAGCTAATGCGAACAAAAATAAATAAATGAATAAATGCATTAAATTCCCCAGAAAGTTTTACGTTATATTTACACATACAAATGTGCATAAGGAATTTTAAAAAGAAGTGACTAATAAAACAATTTAGAACTACTCTCATCTGAAGGAGGATTGGATTTCCTCTAATGTTCTTCCTTTCGTCTCTGGAAGCCATATCGTCACAAATGCCGCAGTCAATATGCACATGACAGAGTAAAGAGCGAAAGTTCCTGTTCAAGATTACGCGCCAACAATTATTGTATCATGTCAACTTTATACAGTAAACTTCCCATAGGAGAACAAAAATACCATTTACTATATACTCCATCAACAGCTGCCACATTTGTAAAACAGATTTCAAGTCCAAGGGTCTGTTTTAATTCACTCGGAAAGATGTATTATTATTATTATTATTATTTCTTCGTCTAATATTAGTAGAGCGACTCGTTTTCATCCAGAATTGCCTGAAGCACATACCATATCCGTAAACCAAAGCAAAATACAATGAACAAGGATTTTTTTTAACAAACCTCCACTACTCCAAGTGAGTAGCAATGGTGCAGTCATAGTAATAACCCACGAGCAGGACCAGTTGAATAAAGTCGCAACACTTCCAGCTAGCCCTTTTATCTTAATCGGGAGTATCTGTAAAGTATACATAAGGTACCATGTATGCATAATTTAGTTGATGTAATCTAAAAAGTAAAAACACACAAGCTAATCTGGAAATATTTTGAGTGTCTGTAAATTGGTCTAATGACAAAAAAACTCCAATTTTCAAAGATAATGACTATTTCATACCAACTACATGGTGGGGGAGAAAACGAACCTCAGACATTATGAGCCATGGGATGGGCCCCATTCCAAGCGAAAAAAAGACGATCATCAACTACAAACAGAAAAAGTCAGTTGAACAACAGTAAGAAAGTTGCTGCAAGTGTAATCTGTAAAAAGACGTACCACAACCCCTACAACAGAAAGGATTCCCAAGATGCCAAATAGCTTAGATTCCACGGCCACGAAACCCTTAAAAAAATTACAATTGCACACGAATAAAAAATGAGAGCATAATAAGATACTATGGATGTGTATTAGACTTCAAAATAATTACGAAAAACTACCTTTGGCGCCTAAATTACTTGCAAAAACAAATTTCAGTTATCTTTTTCACATTTTCAAATGCCCAAAAGCATTTCTTTACAAAATTAGCCCCGTAGAGGAATCATTTGTCATTTCATAAGAATACTGGGTTTTTCTTGTAATTACGTAAATCTCAAATTGTTATCTTGTCTGACAATAAATTAATCATAAGAGCAATAATACCTTTGCAAAGAATGACACTGCAACTAGTAAGAGACTGACAGCCATTCCCGAAGAAGAAACCTGAAAATAATATCTCATATTTATAAGGTCGATCGATAAAACTTCTACACATAAAGGAAATATATATTTTTCCTTTAACTCACGATCAATAAAATCCTACGCCCCGTTTTGTCTACCAACCATGTAGCTACTGCAGTAGCAATGACCTGAAGGAAAACATGTTAACAAATTTGACAATTTAGAACGTATAAGACTTGCGAACAATACTTGTTAGTTGAAATAAGTTCAAAAAGTCACAAACTAGCATTTCTTTTTACTGTTCTTAACCTGAATGGTGCCAACTCCTACTGTTGCAGCATGGCTTGATGTGATCCCTGTTCATTCAATACATCAATGTAAATGAATTTCACATTAAACCGAAAATAAATGGTTATTTGCAAATATATTCTCAAGTTTAGAGAAATAAAACTTCCTTAATTAAAGTAAACCTTCGCACTGATTGCTTCTAGTTTGCATAGGGGCATATTTTGTCGAATAGTAATAATAACTTGCAGGGGTATTTGTAATCTAGAAAGATAAATTGGACTCTCTGTAATAATTAGGTTAAACCACATTCTTGTTATGTTGGTCTGTAATTTCTTATATAGAATGTAAAGACTTATCCCCTGTTTCAAGAAAAGGCCACCAGTTCAACCCACCAGCAGATTCGAATATATTGTTGGAATAAAAGATAACGCCATTAATTCCAGATAGCTGTTGCAAAATAAGTAGCCCAATTCCAATCTGCACGATTAAAAAATTACCAAAAAAAAAAAATGTAAATTTCGGCAAGTTGAAAAGCACCATTGCAACAATAACTAGAAGGAAGTTCGATAAATGATGCACCATTAGTGGTAGCCAATATCTTCTCGATTTGAAATCCGCGAACCGGATTGCCGTTCTTCGGCTTGTCGAGGCCACAGATCTCTGTAAAACAAAAGTTTTGGCTCCTAAAATGTGAGTTTGGCCACTGCTGAAGAATGGTCTATAGTATCGATGAACGAGATGTTGGCATATATAATTCATGAATCAACTCAAACGACAATAACAATGAAGTCAAAATAAAAAGAAATAATATCTGTATGCCATTTCTAAAGATCAGTTAATAATACCTTAATTTCATTTACTTCGAAGGTAATATCAGTCTCAAAACCCCGAAGAACTTGAAGAGACGCTTCAAAATCTTCAGTCATCCCCATTTTTGCCTAATTATTTCAGAGGATGAATAAAGTGAGCATTCGTAACATGACAAATGCGGGCTCACGATAGAAGGCCAAATATAAAAAGATTTCTTTTTAGACTCACCAGCCACCTGGGAGATTCTGGGATGAAGAAGAGTCCAGGTATCAGTATCAAACAAGGTAATATTCCTGTAAGCAAAATGAATAGGAGTCAATTCGTAGTCAGATATAAGAACATCAAAAGGTGAAAAAATCATACACCATGCCAAATTTCCATGGAAAATAAAGTAGTGCACTATGTATATTTAACATGACTAACTAAAATACATCTCTAAACTATCTAATTTCTGGACGAGAATTACCGAGAACTGCCAGCAATCTCCAATCAACAAAAAGTCCCAGAAGATAAGATAGCATGATCCCGATAGTCACAGAGAGCTAAAATCATAGGAGAGTAAAATTTTTAGTAACATTCTGATTTAAAAGAACATATAAACTAGTTACACAAAAAAACCTGGTTGACTGAGCCTAGTCCACCCCTTAGATTTTGTGGCGCTATCTCGGCTATGTATACAGGCACCTATGTTGGTTAGAGAAGATGAATCCAATTAATAAATATAACAGGACTACATAATAGATAATAACTTTCAGAAAGTCCAGATAAAAACACTACATTTACCGTGTAAGAGATTATACCCACACCAAATCCTTCCAGCAACCTTCCCATGTAAAGGAATGAAGTGTCCTAATTCAAAATTGAAGAAAGAAGAGAG